CGGCTATTCTTCACCTTCTTCGCCTAATCTTTCCCTTTATTTTCCCGACGAATAATAAGGTAAGCAAATGGCGGGGTGGTGCCTGTCCGTTGCATCCTTTTGGCTCTCTCACGCTTTTGTTCCCTCTCCGCTGGGTGGGGTGGCGCCTCTCCGTTGCATCCTTGCGGCTCTCTCACACAAATCCCCACAGAGGAGGCAGCACAAGAGAGCGTCTGTACAAGGAGGAAGCGCAAGTGGCCGGGGAAAGATGGGTGGGGTGTTGCGCCAGCATTTCTACACATGTGCGGTGTTGTACAGTTATGGGAGATGGAGCTCTTTTCTTTATGTCTTTTTTTTTTAATCAACTACTTGTAGATGAATAGGACATACTCGAACACAGACTTCGCAAACAATACATTTTTTTTTTTTTTTTTTTTTTTTGGGAATCCAATACATTTAGGGGTAAGTACGTTGATGTCACTTTTGAGGATAGAATGAGCAAAGAATACAGCCGCCCAGTTGGGAGAAAGCAATGAAAGTGCCGCACGGCCGTCGTGTCAGGCCGGGTGTCATTACTACAGGGGTCGGCCCCTGATTATCTCTGCACCGCTTCGATTTTAGCAGATGTCCAAAAGGACAAGTCGGTCTGTCTTCCCTTCACCCAATTCATTGTTTTGCCTTATTATTATGCTTATTATTATTATTATTATTATTATTATAATTATTATAATAATTATTATTATTATTTGAAGTACAAGTGCTATTGCTATTAAATTACAATTATTATTATTCTAATTTCTCTCCCTATTATCACATGATGATGTGACAGTGATTATCGTGATGATTACATCATTACAGTCGTCATTATTTCCCTCTCAGTTTGCCTTCTTACTTCTGTAAACAGTGTGAACTTGTGAAGTATCACTCTGAAAATGGGAAAGAGCTTCACCAAAATTCCTTAATTGTGGAAAGAGGTCTTTTCTGTGGTGCAACAAGCCCTAAAACAGGGCCCATGATAATCTTCTTTCTCTGTATCGCTCCAATTTTAACAGATGTCGACGCCTCGAAGGAATTTTGTGAAGCCGAATGAGTTGGAGAATAGGGATTAAAGAAAAAAAAAAAAAAAAACGTCGTTTGAGTTCTACGGATGCCTCAACGGCTACTCAACATCGCACCACTCGCCTCAGCCCAATTCTTTACGGAATGCTGACGTGTCACCCCATTTTAAGCGGAGAAATGGCATGTCTACGAATTCCCCCCCCCCCCCCCATGAAAATTGGCTCGGTGACCACTTTGAGATATCACCGCAGCACTGAAGCCAGGTAATTGAGAGTTATTCTCGGTAATATCCGATTTCTGTCTTAGAAGAAGCCTCAAGAAGGATTCGAGCTCGGGTTTGCTTATCAACAACTGACGGGTGTACACCATTTAACTCGATGGGTTGAGTCCGTCCTCCCCTTTTTTTTTTTTCTTTTTTTTTTAACTGATGAGAACAGAATCAACAGATACTTCACTTTCTCGGCCTTTTGGCTAAGAACAAGTGTAGTATTTGTTCTTCCACCCCAATTTTAACAGAATGGTAATATGATGATACAATAGTTGTCATGCTTTTTTCAACATGAGGTGACTTGGGGTTCCCAATAGAACGGTGTTCACCGCCCCCCAAAAAAAAAGAAAAAAAAAGGTGTTCACCATTTTTTTTTTCTTCTTCTGTGGCCATTTTTATTTTACTTTGCAAAGGTGCTCACAAAGGAGAGAAACCGATTCCCAGCACATGGAGTAATCCGGATGGCTCCGCCCTGCAGCCTGTCCGCTGCAAATCTGTTTGGGAAAAATTACAAGACCCCCCCCTGCGATGAAACCTTTGAATTTGTTTCCCCCCAAACGGAGGGAAAAAGTGCAGCAGGCCCCAAAATGACGTTTGGCGTCATTTTTGCGCCTTGTAAAACAGTTTTCCCGCCAATTTTGCACAGTGGGCATTACCGGCCCAGCCAGGGTGCCAAAATGACAGGAAAGTCATTTTGGGCCTGGGACACTTTTTGCCCCGTTTGGGGGAAAATGAAATACAGATTTCGTGGCGAGGTGGGTTTACAACTTTTCCCAAATTGAATCTGTTTCCTCTTCTTTCTTGGAAAATCGTTAGCGGTGTCTGTGCACGACAAATATGTCTCCACTTCTGTCTTGGAAAATCGTTAGCACCTATAGCACACCGGGATTTGAACTCATGATCTGTATTAGCAGTTGGATGACTAAGATGAGATGTACTTGCGCTTAGAGCAGTTTCTATATGTATAGGGCTGTAAACCCTCATTATAGCCGTGCACTAACAGTTAGATTTCTGTTTCATTCACCCATGTGGGCTTCGATCATCATCGTTTTTGGTCTCTGTTGTGTATTTTTCTCAGGAACAATACTAAACGAGGAGCGTGGAAGAGGGAAGCGAGAGGAAACATGACCAGGCCCCATCATCTGACCTTCAGTACAGTATAGTTTCGCCATCGGCATCACCACGACCGTCTCCCCTTCTACACCAGATTCAATACATACAACAGCGACTGTCACATCGTTCCCTCCCACCCCGGGCCTACCCTCTCTCTCTCTCTCTCTCTCTCTCTCTCTCTCTCTCTCTCTGTCTCTCTCTCTNCCCCCCCTCTCTCTCTCTCTCTCTCTCTCTCTCTCTCTCTCTCTCTCTGTCTCTCTCTCTCTCTCTCTCTCTCTATATATATATATATATATATATATATATATATCTTTCCGCGCCTCTTCCACACCGGTCATGTGCTCATAACCTCGGCTACGGATTTGCCGCAGAGCCGCAGGGCTCGGACCCGACAGAGGTTGGCTTACTACGGAACACCCTCTCTTGGATTTTTTTCTGTCTTCTTCTGTGGTGTGCTCCTTGTCAAACCCATTCCTATTCCTGGTACGCTTGGGTGCAGGTTCGTGACGAGGCGAAAGGCAGACCCGGGCAGGCGCCATCCATAGATTATCTATTTTCACATGAAGCAAGTGCTGGTGACTAGCGGACTGCTCATGCCACTGCTTGTCTCTTCTTCCTCTCTGACCTCTTGCTCTCCCTCTTCCCCACTCCCTCTCCAGTGTCCATCGAAGGGAGGAACATGTTAAGGGAGACCCAATTTACAGTCCGAAAAAGTGTGTCCCCCTTGTCATCTTCCTCGCTTTAAGGGAGCACACCCTAGGGGCCTAGATTCAAGACAGCGTCGCTATTCGTCCGGTTCGGACACCTGCACAAGAATAAACTGGTTGAGCTGGGTGGATTCCAATTCCTGCCCTTTTTGACAACCTACATTCACCTATCCTTTCTCCACCTTGTTGCCTCAGCTTGGTTGGGACACCGCAGATTTCACCTTGGCACCCCGCACGGCCTGGCGCCGGGTGCATCCGCCATGGCAATGATGGCAGGCCAGGACGCACAAAAGGGACAGGAGCTCAGCGAACTGAAACTGAAGGTTCAGCAGGGAGATAACATGCCGGCCAATTGGTGCAGCTTTGATGTCCACCCTAGTGAACCATGGATTGTTGGTAGTTCTCCGAATGGAGAAGGCTATAATTTTGGAGTGTGGAATTACGAAGATGGGCAGCATGTTAAGGGCAAATTCAGTGAATACGAAAACACAGCAAGATTCCTTGGCCAAGAAAATCGGTTTGTGGCCGTAGTTGGGAAGAACCTGCAGTTGATTCTCTATGAGATCTTGACAACTTCTGGCAATCGCATGCGAGAAATAAAAGAAGTAAGGGAACTCATGACACTCACTGGAGAAAAAATTTGGGATGTGCATTCCACCGGCCAGTGCGTGTTATTGGTTGGGCATCTGCGTGATTCGTGTATTTGGGGAGTTGCATTTACAGGGGGTAGGGGGAAGAATGATAAAGAGGGATCTTCACATGAGATTCACTTTTGGGATTTAGACCACGATTTGCACCGCATGAAAAAATTATGGGAAACACGGCAACGGTATTGTTCAAACTTACATTCTCTTGACCCACATATTTTTGCTACTGGGGTTTGGGAAGGGGATATCCAGATTTGGGATGCTGAAGCCATGGCTGTTTTCAAGACATTCAAAGCGGATAGCAGACTTCACAATATACAATTTTGCACTAGGCCCCAGAAGCCGCTTATCATCACGAGCCATGGATCTGGCAAGGTACAAATCTGGGATTACCAGAGAAAAGAATGCCTGATCACCCTGGATGCACATGAAGACTCTCTATGGAAAGCTTTCTTCCATCCAGAATTACCCTATGTCTTGACTGTATCCGGGGATTGGAGGGACAGATCCATCAAGGCCTGGAGAGATTCAGATTATCAGTTAGAAAAGAGGTTCTCCATTGACATGACGGGATGGTTTACAATTATCCATCTATTCAGGAATGGCAGCCTCCTTCTGGTAAAGAACATGCAAAAATTGAATTTCATTACGATAGAGGGCGTGTGTCCCAAGCTCGAGTTAAAGGATGTGGAAAGGATAAAGCAACCAGAGACCCGGTTAAGCACTTGGAGGCAAGAAAGGGGAGCACTTGAAGAGGGGCTTAAGAAACAGATACAAACACATGTGCAGAGGATAAAGGAGCTTGAGGCAGAGGTAAACACTGTGCGGATGGAGAGGCAGGCATTAGGAGAAAAATTTGAGGGATTCCTGTTAGAGCATGAGAGGGAAAAAGCATTGCACTCAAAGAGAGTCAAGCAACTAGAGACTGAGTTGAGCACTGAGAGGGTGGAGAGGAGGGCACTCAAAGAGCGGTTTGAGAGAGAGACACAAGCACATGCACAAAGGATAAAGGAATTTGAGACTGAGGTAAGCAACGTAAGGATGGAGAGGCAGGCATTAGGAGAGAGATTTGAAAGATTTCGATCGGAGCATGAGATGGAAAAAGGCATCCACTCAAAGGAGGTCAAACTACTTGAGAATGAAATCGGCAACCTGTTGTCCGAAAGGGAGGCACTCAAAGAGAGATTTGAGAAATCAAAGCTCGAGATTCGTGATTTGGAATGCAGGCTGGAGAAGGAAAGAGGTGCAGGTGAGGGAGTGGAAAGGTCTGATGGAGTCACAATAGGGGTTCCAGAGGTGGACATGCACCCATTTAGAGAGTTTTCGGGGGATGAGTTGAAGACTGCCACAAACGACTTCAGTGATAGCTGCAAACTCGAAGAGCGACATTACGGATGTGTGTACGTGGGAAGGATCACACCGGTCGTAGTGAAGAGACTTGAGGTTGCAAATGGCATGACGCAGGATAAGCATGCTCAAGTGACGAGGGAGCTTGTGGAACGGTTGAAGTCTCTTCCACACCCGCACCTGCAGAACCTGCTTGGAGTGTGCTATGGAGAAAGCTGTCTGGTGTACGAGTACATGGCCAATGGAAACTTGAAAGATTGGATCTCCCCTTCAAGAAGGTCACAACAGGGCTTTCTCCCATGGTACATCAGGCTGCGGATAATGGCTCAGGTTGCCCAAGCTCTTTCTTTCCTTCATTGCAACCAGTCTTTGAGAGGTGGTCCCATCGTCCACTGCGCCATCAAGCCGGAAAACATCTTCCTGGATCATAGTTTCGTCGCTAAAATTGCAGAGGTGGATATGGCCTTGCTTGGACCAGTGCTTACCGAAGGTGGCGAATCATCAGAGGGACATCGGTTCCCTGGAACGGATGCAAAATACATGGCGCCAGAGTTCTTCCAAACGGAGGTTTTCACTCAGAAGACTGACATTTATGCATTAGGTATCGCCATATTGGAGATGCTCACCGGAAAGTTCAGGAATGCATTGGGAATCATGGAAGACGCGGTGGAAGATGCTGCAACCTTCCAAAGTACCTTGGACCCAAATGCAGGAAGTTGGGACGTGGATCTGGCAATGGAAGCAGCACAAGTGGGTCTGAGGTGTGCCAATCCAAACAGACGGCTCCGGCCGAGCATGATGACAGGTGAAGGTGCCATTCTGCCTGCACTGGAGAGTATCGCTCAGAAAGTGGAGCTTGCTGACTCTATCGAGGACATACGGAGGATGAGCTTTTGTGAGTAACTCGTTCTCAGCGCTGAAGGGTAGGGTTGAGGACGAGATGACTCAAAGGAGGAGTTGAACCTTCATAATGGTGTTGCCGTGCTCTCAGTTTTCAGCGTACTAAGTCTACACAAATGGATCATGTTGCAAGTCCTACGGTGTCAGTTGCTTATGGTGTGAACTGTGATTCCACTTGACATAGAAGAATGTCTCCAGGTTAAGCATGCATCTTCCGAATATTGGTTATTTCAATCACTTGCTCCCTTTCTGCCGAATCATGGTAGCACGTTGTAGCACTCAGTAGACACTACTTGTGGCCATGCAGCAGGACATCATTAGGTTGTGTTTAGGAAGCAAACACACAACCACTTTGTTGTGAAAGTGCTGTTGTCCATGTACTGAGTTCTGATATCTCATATTAGTTTGCTAATGTCAGTCCACTGAGTGTTCTCTTCCTTCATGTGCAGGCAGCACAACCATGATACCTTGAGTTGGTAGAGGTCTTGTATAACAAGTTTGCTTCCTTAATGGCTACGATGAGTGAGAGTGGGTTTGGTAAATTCACAATGGGTGGGTTGTAACTTGTAAGTGCTGCACTACGCCATGTCAACCGGTCGCTGTTTTGAATGGTTCTTGATCCTATATTATCTTCTGCTGGAGCTGCTATATTGATCCGCTGTCTTTGAGCCAAAGGAAGGAAGGAGAGAGAGAGAGAGAGAGAGAGAGAGAGAGAGAGAGAGAGAGAGAGAGAGAGAGAGAGAGAGCGCGGTGCACGAACTCACCCATTGCCCTGTCTCTTATACACATCTACACTGTAAATGATAATCTACCTTAACCAAAATCAAAGTAGACTATCACTCACCCACACCAGATGGAAAACTCTACNAGAGAGAGAGAGAGAGAGAGAGAGAGAGAGAGAGAGAGAGAGAGAGAGAGAGAGAGAGTCTGGAATGCAGCAAGACGGGCAGGCTGAGAGAAAAAGCAAGAATTTTGGTCTTGATCCTTTTGGACAGTTGGTTGGTGTAGTAGTCCTTACAGCCTGAGTCAAATTTGAAAGGATGTTTGCTCTTTCTTCCATTGAAAGGACAGTCATGTTGTTGGCCTCGTGAACTTCTCTACCTTCCAGTTCATTGGTTGAGGACTTCTCATGTTGAAAATGTAACAGGGGAAATTACAAGAACTGAATATTTGTCAATCATGATAGCTTTGTTGTTTGCCTCAGATAAAACCTAGGGCATTCTGCAAGTGCATGATGCAGGTTGCCCAGTTGTATTATACTTCATGTGAACTGGACCTCCATGTAATGGGAGAACACCTCCTGTACCTCGGACTCTCAGTCTCGCCACTTTAAATTTTGCTCTGGACTTCCATTCTCATACGCTGCTTTAATACTGTCGAATTCTATCCACTTAGTTTTTTTCTAGGGGTAAGTACGTTCATGTCACCTTTGACTCTTTGAGTATTGAATGCCGCGTCCGCACCTTGCAAGCATTATGAAATTTAAACGCAGACATCCAAGTCATTGCTCTGTCTTTTCATAATTAACATCTTTGCCCTTTGACTATCTTCAAGTCGCATGTATGGTGGATTTATGTGGCTATCTCCCGCTGCTTCTGGACTCATTAACATCTTTGCCCTTTGACTATCTTCAAGTCGCATGTATGGTGGATTTATGTGGCTATCTCCCGCTGCTTCTGGACTCATATTGAATTCCCTTTTGTTTCCATTTCTAGAGCATATTCAGTTGTGTTACCTTAGCAAGGGAGATCTGCCGATTCCAAAGCCGTCCTCGCCTAAATTTGAAATGACGTAGTCCCAGGAAGATGTCCCATTTACCTGGATCCTCTGTTTCTGGTTGCTGATTGCTATAAGCAATAGTCAGAAACAAAGAATCGTGGAGAATGGGGGTCGTGGGACCATGTCTAAGCCGATGTTGAAATCTACATGGATATCTATACCGCGCACACATCTGGACATGGCCCCATATGGGGCTTCAAGGAAAAATGGAAAAACGAAAACAGCAAATCGGGGACATTGAGGAGGCGATTGTAATACAATGCACTTGAATAACAAAGGGATTTTTGGCATACACAGCGAACAGAAAACATCTGCTAACACATCCTACGAGGGTGAATGGTATGCCAATGTGAGCTCTAGTAAGCAAGATCATGTTTTCGAATCCTCAGGTAATCAGACACAGAGAAAAATCTTACAAACCTCTAGCTGATTTCTTTAGAAAAAGAAGTTCTATTAGCCAAGAGAATCTTACAAGCCTGTGACACATTGACGCTTGACGGCGCTTGTGGAAACCTGCCTTGTACGGTAAACTTAAGGATGTAATCATGTTCAGAAAAAGACCATGGATTAATCTTGCTTGAGGAAAAAAAAGACTTCTTTCAGATGACTGTTCCGGTTTTCAGTCTCAGAAGCCTGAGTCCTTGCCGTGCCTGGTCTTCTTGTCTGAGGCTCAGTGATTTCCTGAGTCGGCAACGACTTTTCTGCCTTAAAGTTTCACGCATTTCTGTCACAGTATCAACTTGCCTACACACCTCCGATTTTTCTGTGCTTGTGGGCCTTGCGTATCTTCGTTCATCCATGCTGCAATCTGAGTCTCAGAGACGGACGCACATGAAGACTGCCCAAGTTGTAGGGGAAGAGCTGAAAGTTTGCAGTACGAGGATAGAGAGGCCAGGTCTTGGTCCTCTGGGACGAGTACCTTCCAGATCTGAAGGGTAGAAGCGCGGAAGGGTAAAGACTGTGGGGTTTGGTGGGTATTCTTCAGTGGGTCTGGAAGGGTCCGACCTCTTGAAGGCTGTGAGGGTTGCCCTGTCATGGGACTGTATTGCAACAGTCTTAGAGGCAGGTACGCTCCACAGCAAGTGTGGATGCTTGCTCAAACTCGAAAGTAATCATTTCACAGCCAAAAGCTGAGTGAACAGCATTGGGGACGCGGGCCAGCTGACTTCATTTAGCTTGGAAGTATGTAACAGTCTTGGTTGTGAAGAAGAAAGCACTCTCGTTTCATAGGGGCAAGCATTTGGTCTGCTGCTCTTCTGCCCCTTTAGGGAGCTGCAGCATTGGCAAGAAGACGAGCTTCCTGGCTATGGCGGAGCTGCAGTAATTATTGTGGTGAATCTGGTGATATGTTAAGTGCAGAATAAACAGAGATTGCCGCATATTGTGCAGCAAAAACCGCTAAAGATGGCTGAATTGGGTGGGGTGGACTTCGTAACCAGCAGCGGAGCCACAATGGGTAAAGTGGAGATTGCTAACTTAAAAAGGAGCTTCCTGGCTGCAGCAGGTGTGGCTCAGTGGCTGTCTAATGCTAGATTGCTACTGCATGCTTGGACTTTAAAAGAGCTTCAAGAGAGCACCTACCTTTCCTCCTATAGCTGATACTAGAATGAGAGGACATCGAAGAAAAGACAAAGTCATTTATAGTAAATCATTTGAGAGTCATGTCTGCACACGGGAAAGGTGCTATCAGCCTATCACACTAATATGTTCACACTCCTTGGGGTCTGCTTGGACGATGCAGGGGGAGAACCACTCACCCCTGTATGGCACTGCTACCTGTTAGCTTTTGGGCAATCTTGGAAGAGTGGCCAGACATCACGAGCCTCAGGATGCTACGAATATAGCTAACAATTATAACGAGTCCCTGACACTGATACTTAAACCTGTCTTCCCATGCACTGAGCACAAGTCGGGGACTGGAGCTGAACACAATGACTTGAATGACAAGGATCATACAAGTGCTGCATAGTTAGTCTCTGGCTGAGTGCCTAGTAATCCTTTTCTGCCCTTTTCCTCGTCTTCTAACTTGGTTCTTCCTAAGGTTTCCTTTTCTGGTTACTTACGTACACTACGGAATGTAGGTTCATGTGTAAACACACAGCATTCACTTTCGACTAGTATGTCACTTGAAGAATCGTTCTCTGAGCTCTCTCTCTCTCTCTCTCTCTCTCTCTCTCTCTCTCTCTCTCTCTCTCTCTCTCTCTCTCTCTCTNTGTGTGTGTGTGTGTGTGTGTGTGTGTGTGTGTGTGTGTGTGTGTGTGTGTGTGTGTGTGTGTGTGTGTGTGTTTGTGTCTGTGTCTGTGTCTGAGGGTAACCTTCAGCAGATGTTGTACCCTCTTCACATTTAGATGTTCTCAAGAACGGAGTTCAATTTTGTGCAACACTGCAATTGGAAAAATATCTCAAAGAAATTTCAGTTGATGTCAAGATTGTTTGAAAAAAGTTGCAGTGGGATTTCTGAGCATCATCTCAGCGGAGATTCACAAAATCCATGGGTCTATTACGATGCCTGCAGGGTTTACAGGATGTATTCAGGCAACATGAAGTCTGGAAAAAAACTCTTAAGTACCCATCATAACAGACGATCAAGAATCATGACATACCATCTAGTACATCTACAATAAAGATCAATAATAAATTCAATGATCTGGAATTACGTGGGGCCGGTCACCTCTGGATATATCTCTAGACTGTCACCCTTTGAAAAAAGAAAAAGAAAGACAGAAAAAAAAAGAAATTACTGCGCGGGTGACCGGTGCACAGTTCTGAATTTGCACGAATACCAGGGCACTGTAGGTCTGGGCCGAGGGCAGTCAGAAACAGCTTTGTGCCCTTCTAGCCATTGGACGTTCGGAAGTGGCAAAATCAGGCAGCCACTCATGTTTTTTTTTCTGCGCCTGCGACTTTCTTTTTTTTTCCTGCGCCTGCGGCATTTTTTTATTTTATTTTTTTTGCGCCTGCAGCTTTTTTTCTTTTTTTTTAATGCGCGCCTGTAGCTAGGCCACGGCTGAGCCGCCGAGGTGTCTAGGCCACACCCGTGGCTGGGCCATGGCCGAGACGTCTTGGCTACGCCCATGGCTGGGCCACGGCCGAGATGTCTAGCCCACGCCCGTGGCTGGGCCACGGCCAAGATGTCTAGGTCACGCCCGTGGCTGGGCCACGGCCTAGATGCCTAGGCCACACCCCTGGGGAAACGACCGGTACCAGTACCTCCCATTTTTTCCATTTTTGCCAAGTGTTGAACTGGCAGGACCGGTACCGGCCCCGGTACCTGTTTTTTTTGCAGTTTCGAACTGCACTGCGTTCAGATTGCAGTCAGCTGTTATTCCCCACTGCGAATTTGGAGCTCTGCGGCGGTCATAGGCGCAGTTGTCTCAAAAAAGAAAGAGAGGAAAGAAAAGGGATTTCTGAGCACACGGAGAGTCATGTCCCTCAGATGGAGCAAGACTCTGCACGAGGCTGTTCCTCACTGGGAACCAGTCCTCTGAGCTCGTGCTATAGTATCATGTAGATCTATAGGGGAGTGATGTAGATCTACAGGGGAGTCAATGGGACAACGAGCATTATGTGATTGAATGCCTGTTCCCTCCATGCTTCCAGGCACCAAATTTTCCAGATGAGGACATAGAGACACGATGATGCGAGAGGTTCAAATGCCCCTCATCGGATTTTGTATGCAAAGGCCCCAAGGGTCAAATCAGCCAGCACGGTGGCCTGAAGGGTACATCAGCCTGCTTCAGCCAGAATGGTGGCGTGCAAGTCCGATGGACTGATGATGTCGTTGGGTACATCTGTGAAAGTTGGAAGTATACAGAGAAGATATGCATGGCTCCTGCCCGCGGGGATAACACACATAAGTCGAGAAATTGTCTGACGGGCATAGCTCATTTGGTACACCCATGAACTGTTGAAATACAGACCACAGTTCGAACCCAGATGCAATCAGATGAAAAGCAGAAACTAAGTCTGAATTACCCGGGGCCCTTCAGTTCTATGATGATATCTCAAGGCCTGTGCCCTTTTTCATTAAGATGAAAGTAAAGGAAAAACGATGAACGAGAAGAAGGAAATTGGTGAAAAAAGAAGTCCCGTGATCAGGCAATTATCCTCACCCCTTCAAGGGCACAGTGGGGACTCATTCAAGACTAAAGCAAAACTCAAGACATCTGACTAGGGCACCACTCAAGATGAGATGCTGTAAACATAGGAAATGCTGTAGTGGAATAAACAATGGATGTCCATACTTCGTTCTATCCTAAACCGGCAGTACTTTTAACCCTTCCCTTGCTGAGCCTGGAAATGCGCCCAGAAAAAGAAAAACCTCTCCAGGCCTTCATTTGTCTAGTTGTGCCAGCCAATTGGCTCCAGTATGTCGACGCGCCCCAGATTTGCGGCCACATGGACGCTACGTTGGAGATAAATGGCTGGGAAACATACTAGTGGT